AGACATTTAAAGCCATTTGTAAATGTGAGCAATTAGAAGCCTTGTAGCTCTCTGGGTATCAGGAGTTGGAGTGAAATCATCCAAGTTAACAGTAAATTTCCTGTGATACAATATGGTCAAGGATCATACTTATTTTCTACTTAAGATTTTGCATATGTAAGGTTAGATATACTCAAGGARGAATAGCTTTGCTGCCTAAATGACAGAAAAATGAATGATGGTTAAAAGGTGTTAAAGGGAATCCTGTTAGCCTCCTTATAGCTAAGGGCTGTACTGACAGTTCAGAAGACAGTCTAGAAACAACTTCTAGCCCTTTCTGTAAGAAAATGGAAGCCTTGACATAGCAAAATATTTTCTCTAAAGGATGGCCAGCTCCTATATGGGCCATTGCACCAAGTAGAGGTGAGTGAAAATTAGAGGTGAGGTGTGTTTGTGGTCAGAGAAAGGGACCAGAAGTAAGCTGGTACTCTCCTGTGCCTGCATTATAGTTGGTTCTCTTTCTCTATCGACTGTAGAAGGAAATATAGCTTAGCTAAACCAAATTTTTTTTTTAAGATTTAAGTTAGCCGTCAAAGTGTATCCAGACTGTTGCAAAGCTTTGTGAGGGGTTTGAATGCTCAGTCCTTAACCACCAGTTAAGAGAAAGAAGTGGAGGCAATGACTAATGTATTGCCTGTAAATAGTGTAAAACAGAAATATAATGAGTGGGAGGAGCAGRGAATTGCAAAGAATTGGCCAAAGTCTCTGGGGTTTTGTCTTTTCCCTTCCCCCTTGCACCTGGGTGGATCAATAGAAAGGGAGAGCAGTTGTGTAATGGCTTTTTTTGCCCATCACTTTGTGCTGTTAGTTTGACACATGCAATTTACTTGGAAAAGCTTAAGTAGCCTTAATAACAGAAAGTCCCAGCAGAGCTGACACTAATGGTCTCCCCCGTTGTCAGTCTCAACAGAGAGATTAAGAGCTGAATGAACAAAGAGACCCAATTACCATCTCCCCCCTCTGGATGCTGCCCATGAAAACAGGTATGAGCTATGACAGTGGGTCTTTGGACAGACTGTGCCTCTCTGCCCTGCCCTGGTGTGACTGGGGGTTTTGCTGTGCTCTCAATTTAGTGCCATTACTGAGGGCTGCTGCAGCATCACCCAGTCCAGCCTTTTTGCACAAACAGTGAAGTCCAGTCATCTTGAAAGAAATTCAGTGTATCATTCCCTGATAATGCACATTATTGAACACTCCTCAGACACTCACCATCCAAATACACTTTACTAAAGCTAGCCCAGCTAGGTCTACCATTTTACCCTGTTTAGCATAGGAAAATCATCTTTTCTTGGCCAAAGCTCTCAGGGAGGTGTCACAGCGGGGTGTGCAGCCAGAGATGGACGTGTTCCCAGTGCACTGGGTTGGACTTGCAGAAAGGTCTCAAAGAAAATAGAACATCTGTTTCTGCTTTCATCCAGGGTTTGGAGCAACTTGGTTAATAACAAAGCACTGTCTGTGAATGGCTGCACACTACTCATTATGGGTGCTGTTCCTCAAAATATATCATAAAGCACAGTGCCAGCTCTCTTCTGCCTCCCCTCTCTAGGACAGGTTTGTACAATCAATCCAATATTCAGTTTTTAAAAATTGCTGCTGCTTGTGCCGTAATTTTGTGTCTGTTTTTCATGGGTAATGTGTGGAAGACTTTAATTGCAACTGATTTCTCAGTAAGACTGGCCTTTTTTCAGGAATGCTGCTCTTTTTCAGTTTCTSTAGCATGGCAGATCAAGGATTTCTCACCATTAGGAAACAAAACAAATGTGTTTCAAGAGGGCTCTGGATGGTCTTTGCCAACATTGGGTTTGATCGATGATGATGATGTTGATTAATTGATTGATTKACTGTGAAAAGCAGGTGCYCTACCTTATTCAGTCTCAGTATTGWGGAAAAACATCACCCTTCAGTGAACAGCTGATTTTCAAAGATACTGTCTTGTTGACAAACTGGTTGTTAAACGAAACCTGTCTCTGCTGGATTTAGAAGATTAAAAACTAAATAATAATTACAGCATCAGTATCAACATTGTCTAGCCTTGTCAGTCTTTACTTTTTAACTCACTAGGTGGCTGCTATATTATCACATATATATTATCACTTACAATACTTTGCCAGGTACAACAGATGAATGTTGGAACTCAATATATTTATATTTCAAAGATAGTGAAACAGGTGCTTTGCACTTTATAAACTGAATGTAAGTATATGAACATAATTAATTGATAGTTCTATAGAGGCAAAATTGCTCTTGTACAATATAATAATTAATATTTATGCAGATAAAATATRTTTAATATATATGAAAAATAATGTTTTTGGCTAAACCCAGCTTTGTACAGCTCTTTTTGCTTTTCTGTGTGCATACAGCATACAAACAAACTGCACATCAGATGAATGCAATATTTAATCTAAAGTGAAATGCTTAACACTCGTAGCAGCAGTTCAAAGATGAGGACAGCTTTATTAATGTTTTAGAGTCATGCTTTCTTAAACGCAAATTCTTGTCTTACTGTGGATAATTAAAGTTTTGTTGTTGATCTCCAGCAATTAAATTTGCTCCCTTATATATCACGGTTACAATGTTGGTTTTTTAAGTGATTTGTGCATCCATCAGAAATGGGGGGGAGGGTAAAAATATGAATAATCTTTATTAAAAAAACTTGCACGACTGATACAAAAGGCAGGAGTTTAGAAACTTTATTTTCCCACCTAAAGAAAATCTGAAATAATGCCTCCTAAATGGACTGGAGTGCATTTTGGGGAATACCTATGTGTTTCTTAAATCATACCCATTAAGCAAATATGGTGGTTTATAAAGAAGTAGTAATTTATTATAAATGTTTACAGCCTAAATAAGGTTTTTGACAGCATGARCTTGTCCYTGGGAGATTCCCTTTTTTCTCMCTCCAGTTCTCTCTCAGTGTAGGARCTCAGCAATYGTTTTGAACAGAATACTGGCAAAAGAAGCTTKTTCATTGCTCTCTTCTCCTTTCTTACAAACCTTTTGTTCTTCAGCAAAGGCAGAAGTTCTTTGCCTGCCCTCCTTTGCTCAGCCCTCCAKTTGCCCTGATGATCATGTACAATCTCATACCATTCCAGTGCTTTTTCACCTCTCCTCATAGCATTCACCCTCATGTCTCATTCCTCTGGTTTTACAAGCAGCATAAGCTCCTCTGAACCTCTTCCAGCATGAAAAAAAGACCAAACCATCACCAGTCACATTTGCACTTCTAGACACGTTCTGCAATTCTCTTCTCCCCCTAGTAGTTGTTGGAGGCACCAGTGCCTTTTCCAGTCCAGCTTTGCACATTTCTTTCTGGGCAGCATCTTCTCTGAGCTCTTACGCGTCAAAGGTTACAATGTGCACTTCCTCCTCAGCCTCACATCAGCTGTCATCTGTCTGCAGTCTCCAATGTTCTTGAAATCCTGCCCATGCTTTTGTTCTCTCATCTTACACAAGATGCTGGGTAGCGTGCCTGGGCTCTTAAGTGGTTCCATTGCTGCTGGATCCCTCCTACACTGTCTGCCACTCTGTCCAGTTTTCCTCACAATACAGGACAGGGATCTATTTCATCTTTTGGACCCTTTTCTTTGAACCAAGTTTCCGCTTATGACTAATCTTTAATGAATAGTGTGTAAATTAGCAGCCTGTTGTGTTAATTTCATACTGTAKATATTATTTCCCAAATGAACTATTTGTGTTGATGCGGAGTTACATCTGTTAGTTTACAGTTTTCAAGTACTACGGATAAGAGATAAGATATCCAAGTGAAATCWCACTACCTATGTTCCTGATGAACCTGGAGAGGTGAACAGAATGATACAGCTAATCAAATTATCTTAAATTAGGTTTAATTATGTTTCTGCACCAACGTTTCTGATTYGTTTGTGGWTTGGTTTTTGTTTTGWTTGTTTGTTTTTTAAAGAACCTTCTATTTTTTCCAGTTCCTATGTGCAATTGTATCAGCACATAACCTATGGAACACCTCTGAGACATTTTAGGAGCCTGTTTTCTGAGTACACCATTTATTCATAAATAAAAGCAGTGTATAAGTTCATCCAGGCTGTAAGAGGGGATAAGATGAGCTCTGGAGATGTGTCTTCAATTTCTGTTTCTTGATTCTAACTTTAGGCTATGTATTTTTTGAACCTCATCTTGAACATGACTGTTAATTGGCAACCTGTAGTTTAAACGCTTCTGTTTATTTGTTTCTTGATACTTCAGTTGGTATTTTCAATTAAAATGAAACAGAAAGGTATATTCACGAGAAAATCACATTGTTATTGACAACATAGTCAGCAAAACAGTACCAAAAGGTCAAGTCACAGATATAACCAGTGCTTAGTTTTCTAATGTCTTTATGTATTATCGAGTGGTTTTTGTACTTAAACACATCTGCTGATCTGAACACATTAAGAAAAAGGATAGCAAAAGCAGCTAAATTATGTGGTGATTTKAATTAGTAGGAAAGAAGGATGGTAAGGTCTTCCAACAGCATTTTCTAATTGAAGTCACGAACTGGCATTTCAGCAATGATTTCTGCTTCAGAGATCAAGAGAGATTATTTATCCTTAGCAGTTTTCAGCTCTCAAAAGTTCAGGCAGGCCAAGTGACTTCCATCATTCGTGAACAYAGTTGTGAACTTGTCCCTTTCCTGATTTTATTGATTTGTCACGTGGTTTYTGGGAAGATAWGAAGGCYTCTGTTGCATTTTCCTTGCCCTCASAAWGCAGTGAGAGYTGYACAATTTTATTTTCAGAGGCCAGTTAGTGGGAATCAAACTGGAGAGCCATGGTTGGAACTTGTTTATAGTGGGAAGTGGGTGTGTAAACCTCTTGGGCAAATGTCTGGTTGTGCCCAGATGTGTGCCAGCAGCTGAATGCTGCAGAAAGCATTGATATTAAATTTCTGTGTTTCTCAGTCTGCTGTGATGCTCCATTTATGTTGTGTTTCTCCTCACCCAGGAGCAGTGTACCATACCGTGGTGCAGAGACTTGCAGCTGTCATCAACACTAGGAAATACTGAAGCTGGCATCCCCACTGTCTTTCTCAGAGGTTGCCTTGCAGGACACAGCTGTAAAATGTTCGTCACAAAAAACTGAATGGTAGATCCTTAAGAGTRAGTAAAAAACAAATAAAACCTTTCAGATTTTTTTGTCTAAAATGTATACAAGTAATGCCATGCAGATTTACATTCTAGAAATGCACTCCAGTTCCTGGGGATCTAGGGATTGTGAAAGAGCTTGAAGTTAGACCTGTGGCACTGGGTTATGGTATTTATGTCACACTTCTTGTGTTCTTTGGGGTATGTAGTTCTTCACCTTCTCTGTTGTCCTTGTACACCTCTGTTAAATGCTGTCTTAAGGGCCAGTGGCTCGAGGAGTGTCAGATATCCCATTGAAGTGTGYTCTCCCTAAGCAGGAGGCTAGCTTAGCTAGTTTGAGTTCTTCAAGACAAAGTCACAGAGTGTCCCCCTAGGAAGCCCCCTGCTCTGCACAATGTGCGAAAGTGTTTATTGTTTCTGGAAAATGAGGCASTCTCATATCTGGAGGACTAGCTGGGCTTGTGGGATCTTTGACTAGGGCTCAGAATGTGTGGTGTGATTTCTAGAGTCCACACRGAAGGGAAGTACATTCTCTGTTGCTGCCTGAAATGTTTGTGGGTTTTGGCACTGCAAGTTATTACTGTTTCTGCCTCTTCTGCTTGTCTAACTACAGAGAAATGAGTGTTGAAACAGGCCCGTTGGGCTTCTCACCCTCAAATGTGTTCTTGGTGTCCCTAGCTTCTGAAAAATAGAAACAGCTTTTAACCCTTAATTCACAAATGGGGTGGTGGGACAGAAAGGACCCGTAAGCATTGTGGGAGGGTGGAGTGGGGTGGAAATGCAGGAACTTCAAAAGGAGAGGAAATCCATGGGGATTTAGCTCTACTGGGTCCAAAATCAGGAAGATTAAACTCTGCTGATTTGAGTGCAAAGCACTACGCTGTAAGGATGGATCTCCGATTCCTACAAAGCAGGGAATTACTGTTTAAGCTGCAGAAATAACTCTGTGAATTTGGAGTGTACYGGGAAATGAATTTGATCTGATGTGGTTGCAAGGAAAGACAAGCCCAGCTCCAGGGCTCTGGGATGCAGAAATTGATCTGTGGAGGAGATCAGAGGGAATTATTAACTGAGTGGTTGTCATGACTTGAAGGGTTAACTGGCCTGTGGGAGTAAGGAGATCTCATGGTGGGTTTCAGGGGTTCTATAATACAGAAGTGGCCCCAGGGRAAGACCAGTAAAGTAACAGGCAGAGTCTCATGTCAGTGATGAGCCTTGTCACAAAGTTGGGAGTCAGTCAGACATCCCTAATGAGGGTCCAGGAGTTTGTCTAGAAGATCTTGTGGAAGGTTCATGCAGGGGGCTCGAACTATGCAGGGAAACTACAAGCAGTGCAGGACAGTCTCAGAGGATAAAGCTCTAGTTTGGGTAAATTTAAGTCCTTTTCTATAGCACAAGAGACATGAGAAGGTGTAGGACATACTCCTGCAGCAGCCAAAAGGTGCTCTTAATTTCTGTTTTTCACCTGAGAGAACCACTAGATGATGATGATTTTTCATATGTCAGACCAATTTTTGTTTTCTAGACTGTTCCCTGTTCTTTCAGTTAGAAAAGCCAGTGGCAGTTATTGAACCTTATTTTCTGAGGATGTTTTCCCCTTTTTCTACCCTTTCCACTTTATTCACCTTTCAGAGGATAAGTTCCTTGGTTTTGTACTTATATGTCAGTATGACTCTGGTTTCTAGACACCCAGCTGCCCTTCAGAGGTGTTGACTGCACTTCTCAAGGATGCTGCTGGTTCCCAAGCTCACRGTCCAGCAGGCATTTGCTCTGTCAGTATTTCAGCAGACACATTCTGCTTAGTTTTTCTCTCCTCATGACCAGGTTGCCTTTAAGGCTGSTCCCATCAAGAGTCCTCTGCAAATACTCTGCATAGTTTTGAGTACCAAGCCTCAACAGAACTACATCAGGGGATGAACAAGCAGAGAACTGGAGTAAGTGATCGAGAGAGGAGTAAAAAAAAAAACTCCGATGTTTTATCTAGACAAGAAAGCAGTGAAAGAAATGGAGGAAGGGAAGGGGACAGGGATCCTGTAGAGTGATCTTCCATGCTTYATTATGTTTGTCAATATAATAGRAAAATATTAAGTATTTTGATAAACYGGCTTATTTTGTGGGGAAGAAARTGTTTCAATTGTCTGGGGTACAACACTGACAGTATTGAAATCTCATTGCCTCAGTTTCTGTGCCATTATGGACCTTCACAAGGTAGACCAGTCTGTTTGCTGAGTCTGCTGACAAATGTATCCTTTGATATGTCTTGAAATCTTTTTGTCATTTATGAACATCTTTGCACTAGAATTGGAGTAGAGACCTTCTGTGGGTGTCATGTCGGATCCTGCACAGCCATGTAACAGYAGTTTTGGTAGTTGATGTGGCTACCAAAGTAGAATTGAGCCCATGGTCTCAAGAGGAAAAGCTTTGTCCCCTTCAGCTGCTGCTGTGAAACCCAAAACACTGAGCACCATGGGAAGCATGGAGGCTTTGTGCACAAAATTGGGAGAGTCTTTGCTGTCTTTGGCCTAAAGTCATGGATAGGATAGGATAAAGTCCCTAAACCCACGCTTTTCCCTCCCTACTAGGATCTCTTCAGGGATGCTTTAAAGTTGTTCCCCCATTCTTTCAGAGCTCTTCCAAAGTCTGCTGAGGTCAGAGGGAGCCCTCTGACAGACTCAGAAGGCTTGAGACCTTTACTAAAGCGATTCCCTGTGGGAATCAGGTACAGCTAATTTTAGTTCATCAGTTACATTTTTTTCTTGGGAGTTACTGCCAGCTTCTCACCAGCAGCACTGGGGGATCAATGGGTGGGTTTAGGAAATGAGAATTACAGTCYCAGCTGTGCTGGCTGGTGGGGTGATTCCATGCAACAAAATGTGATCTCCATGTTTGCTTCCCTGCTGTGCTCAGTTTCTCTCACTCTCCCATTTTCCAGGGTGTGCCCAATCCCTGGGTATTTGTGCTTCCTCTTGCYGTTGCAGTGCTCCATGATGGGAGGCAACTGGAAAAATTGTGATCTCTTGATGGTAACAGCATGCACCATGACAGGGGTACACACCTCTCTGGGGGTCACAGTGTTCATGCTCAGCACTTCCACCTATGCTTGTCTGAATATATCTCTCTCCCACCCTGGCACCTCCATCCCTAGGATTTCATCCACTGACTTTCAGCTTGAGCTTTGGTAAGCTTTTAATTGACACACAGCCTGCCAGACTCTTGCTCTCATGTCAGACTCTTGCTCTCGTGCCAGACTCTTGCTCTCGTGCCAGAAGCCTAGCAATACTGAGGAATATTGTGCCAATACCCAAACATTTCAGGTACCCACATTGTCTCTATGATTCAGCGCTGAACTGGGTGTCGCTGGTCCACCCACCTCACTGCATCTGCCAGTGCTCTCCCAAGACATCAGCTGTGAGGGCACAGGAGGGGCTGCGTCATCACTGCTGGCAGCTCCTAAGTCATGTTTTTCTTGAAGAGGAAGAACATCTCCAGTTCTCTTTTGCCAGCTGAAAAACATTGTGAAGCTGGTAAACATGTTTTTTTTATTCTCTGCTCTGTCAGCCAGAGCATTTCCTGATCACTGCCTGGAGGCACATCTTTAATAATGTGTATAAAAGATAGGATCTTGCACAATTAGGAGTTCATACCTTGGTGCTGGTTGGCATTAGATTATCATAGCCGTGTTTCCTGGCCTTTAAAAAAAAATCTATAAGTGTATGAATTTTTTTTTCTTGAAATTTTGTAGAGTGTCTTTTGCAGTATTAATCTGAGTTRCTATTATGTGCTGTCTGGGAGAGCGTGGGGCTGCTTGTGCTGKCAGGGAAGAGGGTTCAGGTCACACAGGAGCTGGAGGAGACCTCTGCACCCCCACTCTGACATGGCAGGGTCCCCAGCTGAATGACAGATACTTGCTAAAGGTAGTCTGAACCCTGGCAGCAGAGGACATGCTTTGGGTATAAGGAAGGAGGGAAGAACAGCAGAGAAAGGGAGTTGGTTGTGGAAAGGATTATGGCACTTTCTGCTCACAGTGAGGTCCTGCAGTCATTTTAATTGGCTCCTGCACAGAAGGTGACAATGAGGGACAGTTCTTCCATCCAGAAGCCCCACTGTGTGTGAGGGCAACATAAACCCCCACTCTCCCATGAGCACAGCCATGTGTCTGCCTCTTTCCCAAGGTTGGGCTCYGGCACTTCTGTTAAACAGCAGTCAGCTGGAAAGATCTCCTAACTGGTTTTATGCAAATGGGAGCGGATATCTCATCACATGTGTTTGCACACTGGCACTGTCCCCTATCAAACAATAGATATTGTTTTGTCATGTAAATAGTGCTCAACTGACAGGGCTTGCTGAGATCTGAGCTCGTTTGTATTGAGTGGTTTTGACATGTTTGTGTGTACGCAGGTGTTGAGAGAGAGAGAGGGGRCAGTAACAAAGCTGTGAAACTTCARTGAGATAAGCCAAATAAACCCCCCAAATCATGTTATATGGAAAGTGGTAGGTATATATAACCTGTGTGTTGGATAAGGGAGGTCAGGGCTGCCTGGCAAAGATATAAGTAGGAGGGGGAGAAAAAGTTGTTTTCATACAAGGAGATCAGTTACGTCTAAGCAATGACTTGAAACTGCCTCTGATCTTCATCCCTGTTCTCCATRTGTTCATACCTCTCTCCAGGAGAATTGTGCCAGGCAGGTGCGACTCTGGAGGCTGGTTTTGATGGTACCAAACATTGCCAGGCTGCTGAGGATTTGCACTGAGTGCAGCCAGCAGTGGAGGCCAGGCCACAGAGATGGACTGGACAAAGCAGCTGGGGAAGCTGCGGTCGCTGTCTCCCCATGCTCGTCACAAGCGGGGCTGGCGCTCGGTCCGGCTGCAGGCGGCCACCTGCRGTGGAGCAGTGACATCAGTCAGTCTGCTCTGGTTGTGCTGGGAAGCCTGATGAGCAACTGTCATGCAGATACTCCCTGGGAGGCTGCTAAATAGTCATTGTTGAAGTAATTAATAGCAAAAAGAAAAAAAAA